CCTCCCAAAAGAATTAACGGACTCAGGTTTAGTTTTAGCACGCGGGAGATTTCGGAGCAGCCAGATTATCTTATATTTGGCGGCTGCCAAATTGTTTTTTAGGCTCTTTTAGCAAACTTGGTGGGGGCCTGCTTCTGAATCTCCTAGAGATTTTAACCGCATAATTAACCCGCATGTATTTTGCACATGCAGGTTCCAAAATGAAAAAAGAAAACAACAAATACATAGCATGCTATTCGAGAGCTGCTGGAGCTGCGGCTGCCGGACTCTTGCAGTTGGGTTTTTTTCTGCGATTGGGTTAAGAGTTGTTCTTACTGTTCATGAGTGAGATCGCTTTCATCTCTGTCCACCCTGCTCTCGCTGCACGTTTTTTCACAGCCATATAATCGGTCACCCATCGAAGAGTAGATGAGTACAGATGTCTCCACTGCTTTGGCTGTTCACAGAAGGACCAGGTTCGAGAACCACATGCGCCAAGGTGAGGAGAGTGCTGATGGCAAGGTCTGGTGCTGTGCACCCCAACGTCTCGCACCAACGATGCGTCAACAGAGTTTTCTTAAAGTCGTAAAACGTTTGAATTGGATGCCATCGCTATTAGATGCTATTAGGTTGGAGGCCATCGCTAGTAGGTTGTTTCTAGTGTAGCACCCCCACGAGTATTTCTTCTAGTGTAGCGCAACCTGGTGTTCTCCCCGTACAGGCTGAGACCGCCTTGGCCCTCCGCTGCAGAGGTTTGATCCGCTCCCAGGAGAGTTCAGAAAGTGGTTGGACCGGCTGACCCCATCGACAGTGGTAGACTGTGCTAGACCATGATAGCTATCCAATATCCTTGGACTGGTCAAGCCGCAGGACAAAGTGCAGTAGGTCTGCTTCATTTTAGCCACGCATTCAAAGGTTGGACTCGGCGGCGCACAAATTGGTCAGACCAGGTGATTCTGAAAGTAAGTAGCCGTCCTTCCAGGGTGGAGGCCATCACTAGTAGGTTGGAGGCCATTGCTATTAGTCTAGCGGTCTAGCGTCTCCCAAAGAATACACATAAAAGGCGGTTTAGGTATGTTTAGGTCTTGGACACAACGACCCCTTACTGCTGGCAAGAACGCCTGGCCGGGGCGACAGAAAACGAGCGACAACTTACCGATTGGAGGACGCACCGCTGGTCCAGGCCACCGCGCCAGAGACTGAGCTGAGTGCTTGACAGACATGTTTTGATCCGTTGAGTTGACCATGGTTCACCATGAGTGGTTTTGACCCAGAAAATGGTGCAGCTCCAAGTTATTCTGTAGCGATATCATAGGATGTGCTTAATCTCCATCAGGTCCACCACTCTGAGAACGAAACATTACTACTAGGAACGCTACTAGGGGCTCCTGGCATCACTACTAGGAGCAAGGACGCTACTAGGGGCTCCTGACCTTACTACTAGGAACAAGAACGCTACTAGGGGCTCTTGGCATCGCTACTTACAACATGGGAGGAACTCTGCACGCGTGAAACCTTTCAAACGCCTGCAAGTAGTGGGACCGTTTCCGTGTTCAGGCGGCACAGGACTTTCTTCGGTAGAGGGATACATTGTCCGAGGTTGAGCCATTTCATGGCCAACAAGAAACCGATGTTCCGCACCTGCCAGTGGCTCAGATGTGCAAACTTGCAAGATTTGTGCGTTCTTTGGGGTCGTGTTCAATCCCAAACCCGTGGTTCTGGGTTGAATGGAGCTTCTAAAACAGCTCCAGTCACCTCAGGTGCGTACGCCAACCCGTGGTTCCGAGGCGCCGAGTGCTTTCGACACAAGGCCAGCAAAGGATCGGACCTGTGTTCGGAGCCCCGAAGATCGGAAGCGTTGGGAGCGAGCGGGCGGGCCAGTTGTTTCTGCGGATCCCTTCTCCAGGTAGAGAGACACTGCGGAAAGGAGGCTCCGCTGATTGAACTGGAGAAAAGCCAAGCTAGTTGCAGCCTGGCTGGTTTTAGGAGCTCTTAGTCGCTCAGCCTGAAGCCATGAGCCCAACTACTCGACGTCTTTGGGTAGCAGGCCTGGTGCTTGCTGTTCTCACCTCGAGGTTCATCCCAAGGACTGTTGTGCCTCCTGTACGGGTCATCATTACCGATGTGGACGGCACCCTGATGCCTTTCGCCACGAGCACCAAGCTCTCTGCACGCAACGCAGCCGCCTTGGCATCCGCAGTTCAGCTCGGCTGCCGGGTCTCTGTCGCTACAGGTCGCATTCCAGGACCGTGGTATGAGGCTTTGTGCTCCCAGATGCCTGAGTTGTTCGGCCCAGGTGTTTTCTGCAATGGTGCGCTCGTGTTGGATGGCCGCCAAGTGCTACATTCCACGCCTTTGTCACTCGAAGCAGTTGCTGCAGTGGTCAAAGCCACAGCAGGTGGCTGCGTGGGTGGTCGGAAGATCGGCGTGTTGGCCGTCACAGAAGTCGAAACAGGTTATGAATATAGCGAGCTTGCGCCTGATGGACCGAGCTGGGTCACTCAAATGATCGAAAGAGCTGGGGAGAGAGTCAGACCTGAGCCGTCGCATGCGCATCTTTTGGATCAGGAAGTCTACAAATTTGTGATGTTTACTGCAGACAGCGAGGATTGGGCTGCAATGGACAAGGTCATTCCAATCCTTGGAACAGTTCTCCGGCCTGCTGATGCAACCATTTTGGATTGTGGTGGAGGGCACTGCGAGATTTTGCCGCCCATGGTCAACAAAGGCAGGCAGAAGAGAGATGAGAGAAATTATCGGAGATCGTCAATGGGATATGGTGGGTCAAAACAGCCAGCTGACCGACGTGTCCTTTCCTCCATGGACTTTGCGGGTGACCGACTTGTTTCGTACACTTATCTTATATGATACTAGTATGTTCAGGTGTTGATCTACATCCATATTGTCTATTTTGATGCCACCCTCAAAACCAACATGCTCAAACTGATGCCCAGTGCATCGGCAATCAGACAAGCAACACAGTTGATCTTGCTTTCCTTCATGAACTATCGCAAATTTTGCACAGCGTCGCATCCCCCCTTTGGTTATTATGTCAATATGATCATATTATGATGTATTACGTGCTTATGTCACAACCTTAGTAAGACTTCTACATCTCCAATCGCAGATGGCTGGGGCACCATCTGAGTGGCATCCCCTTGGCCAGGTGCGGGTGTCCAGCATCTCCTCTCCGCTTTGGACGCGGATTCCTCCGAGGCCATGGCCTTGGGTGATGCGGTGAACGACGTGGAGATGCTGCAGCTGGTGGGCCGAGGGGTGGCCATGGGTCGCTCGGATGCACACCGAAAAATACCGGTTGGGGACGGTCATCAGGGAGGGTTCCCAAAAAGCGGTTGTGAGGCATCTCATCACATGCAGCAAGAGCTGCCCTGGCGAGACATGCCCTCCAAGAGTTGGCTGGAAAGAAAACAAGGGGGATATGTTGTCTCTTGGTTTATCAACTATATCTAGTAACAAGAAGATACTAGGAGCAAAGGCCATCGCTACTAGGAGCAAGTAGCTACTAGTATAAGCAATTTCAACAGAGCACCATTGAGATTAATTACTGATTACTGTACATACCTCGTTCAAATTGCGAACGCCTCGCTGGATGAGGTGATGGAAACCCAGTGGCTCAGGCAGCTGCCGATGTGGTGGTTGCCCCACATACCGAGGATGGAGTCGCAGAAGCCATCGAGCGCTATGTATTGCGAGGTGCTGCGAGAGAATATGGTATAGATTTAATCAGTCAGGCATTGTTCTTCTTGAGTATTAGAGTTCAGTTATGTTTTCCTGATTTGACGGGCTGTGCATGTTTCAAAAGGTGTGGAAGTCACAAATTAAGACTAGACTGGGTCACCGAGTTCTTTACACAAGAAAAGACATGTGGCAAATCCATGTGGGGTTCCCTGTATCCAGGTCGCATCCAGTAGATAGTAGATATGATACAGATGATCCGTGCTTGATGCTGCTTTCTTCAACTTCCTCTGAAGCCATTGCAGTGGCTTGTGGTGGCGCTTCCAGCTGGATTTCAGATGAGCTGCATCCCTTGTCACAATCAGCCAGCTGTTGAATCAGAAGCCTGAAGCATGATATTCAGAATTGCTGAGCACTGGAAGGCAATGACGACAACGGACAGTACGTATTGAGGTGTTGGTTTTTAAAGACCTCAGGTCCAAGTCTGCAAGGAGCCGTATTTCGCAGGTGCAGCGATGAAGCTTTGATCAACCTGTGTTCAATGCTTTGGTGCCAAAGCGCCCAAATGCACCCACCGCCAGCTGCCCTCTTTGACAGCACCCCAGCCAGTGCCAGGCTGTATGGTCAGAACTTGGAGTCTCTTAGATGGCCAATGGCCCCAGCCGGTGCTTCACAGGGTCCCTGCATCACGTCCCCCGAGCCCCCGAGGTTCTTCCTGCGACCGAGAGCAGCGACAATTGCAGAGATGCTCGAAGCTCAGCAGCCGGGTGTCAAACAAGCATACCCCTCTCATCCACTTGAAGCAGTTGAGAAGGTCCTTTTCACAACATAATTAGCCAGTTTTGTGCCAGAGAAACTCATAAGTATGCACACATTCATGTTGATTTTCATTCACCTCACCTCCCTCCAGTTTATTGACTTGATCTGACCAGCTCCGACCGCAGATTTGGGACGATCGAGATGAACATAGATAAGCTGATCTGATTGAGCTGTGTGCACAGATGAAAAAGCGTTGAAGGTTCGTTTCAGTTGCCAAATGTATGCTTTTGGTTTTGTGAGACTTAGCTCTTTTTGACAATGAATGGCAGCTGGTTGCTCTTTGTCCGAGAGGGGCTTTGCCGCTTTCTTGCGAAGGACATGAGAGGTTTCATGTTGTCATGCCCAGGCGGACATAGGCGGACTGTGCCGCCCTTCGCACATGTGTTTGTTTTGACCAGAATGACCACCCAATAACAGCCGGTCGGTACGTGTATCCTTATATCACTCTGTCACTCTATGTTGTCCCGTTTGAGTTGAATATCTCTCTCCGATCTCTCCCCGCGCAGCACGAGAGCCTCTCCTACCTGGTCCTTGATGCTGCCAACGGCCCCGAGCAGATCCAACAGGCAAGTCCTGAGGTGAAAATGGTTGTTCCATGTTCCACTGATGCTAAAACGCTCAAGACTTTTTGGACGAGAACCATGGAGTTTGATGTGATAAGTAGGGCACGTGCCGCGGGTCACGGGTTCCCTTCCATTGTGTTTGCAGCAAAGTCAAAACAAAACAACATCCGATGCACCATGCACTGCATCACGTCTCTCAGTGGACCCTCCGAGCCTCTGGAGACTTCGTAAGACTTCGTGTGCGTTCCATTCAAACCGTCAGGTCTGCCGCAGTATCCTGGCGTTTCACGAGGAGACCCGATTTCCGGCCCTGCGGCTCCTCTGTCGTCGGACGCGTTGGGGCTCGATGCCGAGGACTTGGACAAGGACGGCGGAGATGCCTTGACCGGCGCATTTCAGGTGCAAGGCCGGGATGGCCATGAGTCCATATTGAAATGATTCATTATATGTCATTATATGATCAAACTAAATTGACATGCCCAAGAACCCGGAGACCCTAAACCCTTTCTACAGGCTTAGTTCCGCTCTGACTCTCGCTTCCTCTTTTCTCGCTCTATATAGACAGCACCAACCAAATCTGAACGCGGTGGTGCCACAAGTAACTGCCACCAAGATTGGGAGCAGAGACATTACATAAATGTTTGATGCTTTTGATGGTTGTGCAATTAATTGAAAGCAGCATCCGGCTCATCCAGATGTGCGGCCTCAAGTCTTTCGATCTGATGCCGGTTTGCCGCAATGCCAGGAATCCTGTGCCGAGCCCCTGAATATGCTGATGGACTTCTAGAGGCTATGGCACCAGATCCGTTTGGCTTCTGCGTGCATGCGAAGTGAGCTTTGGTTCCTTGAGGTGCTGGTACTTGATCCATCTAAAATCACACCATCAGTCTTTCCCATACACTCCCATAATTACGTGGCATAGAGGTTCAGTTCACGGCCCAGAGCTGGATTGCCATTATGCCAGCAGACAGGCCGCAAAGTGAAAAGCCAGGTGAGCCGTAGCTTGATGTGGGGCAGAGCCATCGTGGAGGAGGCCACCTGGGTGGTGGCACCACAACTTGCTGGGACGTTGCTCAGATACCAGTCAGACATCATGCTAGTGGGCAGTTGGAGGAGAAGGAGGAGGAAGGAGGAGGAGCATCGGTAGTTGTAGTGATGCCACTTGTTTGCCACTTCACTTCAGCTGCGGAGTTAGGATATCATCGACACTGCTTTATTGACTGACAGTCATGCTAAATAGAGGAACAAACCAGACTAAGTAATACTGCATATACTAACTATACCTTGATAGATCCAACTTAACTTAACCATGTTTTTCTTTTGTTCAAAGAGAGTTTTTTGTTTTTATGCAAAACAAAGTAGCTCAGAGGCATGGCTTGTTTGAAGTGTCTACAAAGACTGGATCGCTCAGACGGCCTGTGAGCTGGCTGCCAGCAGCTGGGAAGCTTTGGAATGCAGGTGCGCAGATGGTGACGTTGATTGTGCGGATGAAATGACATGACAGGTCATTGGCCTGGAGCCATGGATGATCCTTTTTTGAATCAATGTTCATCTAAATTCATATTTGGTTTGCACGTGGATTCCGCGTGGTTTCGCCAAGGCAACTGCGTGTGCTTGCTCGAGTGGCAGAGCAGCCGCCAGAGCAATGGGCTTGGAGGACTCAAGCCATGCACACCTCGACAGGTCTGAAGAAGGGTCGACCTTTTCAACCACTGCATCGACTCATTGTCCTGCACTTCATTGCACTTCATTGTCTCATTGATGGTTGGTGGCAAGGGAAGGCAGAAAAGAAACATGAGAGACACCTGAGAGGGAAGATGCCTGCAGGAACCAGGATCGAGCCCTCCTGAATGGCTTACAGCCCCTTCCACAGGTGAACCCTCGTGTGGAAGCCCAGGATTCGGGAATTCGGCACCAAGGTGCAATTCTCTGTGTGGCTGACAGATGCTGTATCGACTGAAGACTCACAGGGTTCACGTGTGTATACGTGTGTGTAGCGCATGGTAGCAGCCTGTTCAGAGCCAGGTCACACTGGGGAAGACCCAGTGACACACCAGGCGACCATTTTGACATTTGGTATTATTACCATGTGCAGAGATGTGCAGAACAGTTTTTGTGTTTTGTGAGGTGATTTGCTGAACAAAGAGGCCATCACAGCTGTGGGACACTGGCACACCCAGCTAAGATGCAGGTATCAACAGGATTAAACAGGTACCGTCAGGATCCCTAGAGATATGTAGCTTAGCTTCAGCCATCTGAAGCCTTCAAGTGATGGAAAGCTGCAAGGAGAGAGCCGGCAGGGCGCTGGGGCCGCAGGGTCCGAGCTTTCCCCTGAATTCACTGCCATGTCTCGCAGGCCCTGCGTCCAATGCCCAGCTCCTTGACGTCCTTCGCCGCCTCGTGGGGATGCCAATCCTCCACTCCGCCGAACGGCCAGGGCCGTGACCACGCGCCACGAGGACGGCTTTGGAATTTCGACACAACGTGGCTCCACATGGAGTTGCCCAGAACACCCGGCTACCAGTGAAAGCAAACAGGGGAGAGGAGTGAGAGAGAACTATGAGAACATCTATACAATTACATTTCGGATTCGGAGGTCAGCCTCTCTGATTGAAGCCAAGAAAGCTATTCAATGATGATCTGAAATCATCTAACATTTCATGTTTGCAATGTCTTTGCAGTCAACATTCTTCAAACCACAAAACGGAGAATGATTGCCAATGATCACCAGCTTCGCTTTGGATCCTGAATGCCTCAGGAGGTGGTGCTGCAGAGCTCCTGCTCCATGGTCCCAGTTCGCTCTCAGAACTGGGGCCGCAGCTGGCACTGAAGGCCTCGCTGCTGCAGGTTGTTGGACAGCTGTTGACGGGGCCTGAGAAGGACTACGGAGGGATTCGCAGGGTGCGGTCAGTGGAATTGGTTGACTTATGTTGTCTTATCCAGTGCCATCCATACCATGTCCATGTGTGCACATCAGCTCCATCGAAACAGACGAAACCGACATATTCAGCATGATCATCTTTTAGATGCTTCCCAAAACGGCCCAGAAAGGTTCTCAGGAAGCGCTCCCAACATCCCAGGAGCCTGTGGCCAAGTCTATGGCCTTTGCACATGCGGCCTTTGAGCTCTTGGGTGGCGAACCCACCATGGCTGCAGCAGCTTCAGCCGCCGCCGTGGACGCAGCTGCTGATGGCAGCTGCTGGGGCAACACCGAGGGCGCCTTCAGGACGTGGCTTGGAGAACTAAGTAATCCAAGTGTGGTGAGTTTCCAGACACTTCAGGAATTGATGGATTTCTTGGCCATTCGAGGTTTGTGAACCTTTGCAGCTACAGCTCCTGCCACTCTGCCATGATGGTGCTTCAATCTGGGGCTGAGGCAAGCTGCATTGTACTAATCGATGTGCTTTAAGTCCTTAAGTTAAAAATCAGTTGATGCAGCAGTCAACGCAAGGCATCAGAGCAGGTGGCCTCGAAATTGGAAGCGATCACGTCGGGCATAAGCAGCGTGCTGCTGTGTTTGCGGCCCAGTGACTTCGCCCCACCATCTCGAGAGGAGAAAGAGAAGGAGGACGCTCGGCAGGGCGAAAGGGTCAGTGCATGGGGCGAAAGGGTCGATGGCGACTTTCAGCACGCCCTGCGAAGCACGTTGTGATCTTCGTTTGTTGATGTTCCCAACGTTAAAAGTGGCCCTGTTTCTTGTTTCCGTGCAGAGCACCCGCGGCATGCGGCATGCGGCATGCGGCCCTGTTTCGACCATTCTCTCCTCCATTCTCGTGCGGCAGGACGTCTGGAGTCCCTATGTGTTGGGCTCCTTTGGCCATCGGGCACTTGGGCTTTGGCTCAGCAGCCTCACCGTGGTGATCCCCGTGCTACTCTGGCTGGGAACTGCATTGCCAAAACCGGCCAAGAAGGCCAAGGCAGCTGAAGTCCTGCTGATTACGTGGATTCACAAGCAGGTCATTGCCACATCCTGCAGCCATGATAAAACAATACAAAATTGGTTCGCAACATCAGTCCCATCATCTATCTTAGATAGATATATAATTGTTAATTAACTATAGCTAAGCTAGAACCTGGAAAGCTGATGAAAGCTGTTCAACTTGTTCTTTCGGAAATCAAACACATCCTGCCCATTTGCCCAAATATATCATATCCAAGAACTCCATCGGAACGACCTAACCTTTGTGTTTTGATTGCCGCCTCTATTTTTCAATACTAAATCAACATGTATCCGAATAGTTTTTTGCTAGGTCAGGCCTTTTAACTAGATTCCGACTAGAATCGCCTCCAGTTGAGCTGCTGCCAGCGACACGCCGCGTTTACACACGCACTTTCCACCGAAGCCTGCTGATGGAAACTCTATAAGCGAAGAATATTGCAGTCATGTTTTAGCTAGCGGGCTGAGAACCGCGCTAGTAGTCGTGCAGTTTTTATCAAAGCAATGCTCATGTTGTCACACGTTGCGTCAAAGTCAGAACCTTTCATTTTTACTGTAGATAGCAGTGTTTTCTCATGTTTCCTCAGTGGCAAGAGCTTATATGTTTAGGTTGCCTTCTTGCATTTTTTGCTGAAATTAGCTTGTGTTTCCGATTTTTACGCTACTCTTTCGGGACGGTAAAATATAGTTTTCTACATGTATTTTTTTCAGGGTGAGCTTTCATCGAGACACTGGACATTCGTGCAGGGTTCCTCTTGGACCTTTGGGACTTGGGGTCCAGGGGGGTGGGGGGGGCAATGACGTACGGTCCGCGACGTCGAACGTTTTCGTTTATTTAACATGATACATCTTGGGTTGCTCCTGTCGCTGTCGCCGGTTCAAGTTTTTTTCTAAGAACAGGCAGCATGGCTGCCCTAAGTGGTTGCGGTGCGGTCTGCCTCGTATTACATCTTGTTACTTCGTTTTTCGGGTTTCCAGGATGTTGACTGTTTAGATGGTCATTTGCAGCAGTGGTTTCGTGTTGACCCTGACTTCATAGACTCTCTGTTGCAAACCTGGTGTTTGTCCGTAGGAGGGGATCCCCTGGCGGCCGAAGTGCTGTCCACGGTGTGCATCGATGACCGGTGGTTTTTACACGTAGATCTTTTAGATCAACATGTACCTCTACTGTCTCTGCTATGGTGGACGAAGTTTGAACACCTGTTGGAGACAAGGGAAGTCACGGAGACAATAGTTGCAGCTTTACTAGTTTTGTCGCACCGTCTGGGTCGCGCTTCCTCGGCAATGTTTCGAAGCATGGATGCAGCACCTTCCATAGCACCAGAGATCGCTCCCAGCACTCCCGCACGTGAGCCGCGCACGGAGAGTTTAATGTTGTCAAGAGAAGAGGGCCACAGCCGTCGCTGGATGTCAACACAGGTTCCATTGATGGGTTTTGGGCTCGCGCCAAGATGGCAATTCCCACATCCATGCACACACTCTTGTCCAATGGTCAGGTCAACCCCCAAATCTTCAAGAGTGTCCAAAGGTACTGTTGGAGGTGGGAAAACACGAGTAAAGATTTGATGCTGTGTACAGGACACACCGTTTCAAAAATCCTGGGATGCTGACGGGAAAATCGTCCGAAGGCAACGCTTGGCTAGACAAGTTCGAATTTGTGTTTCGCTGTAGCGAAATGACAAAATGCCTTCAAAGACCACCGAAAAAAAATGTAAATTTCATGGCTGCGTTTGTGAGATAATGAGTATTTCGCTACAGTGAAACGCAAATTTTGCTTGAAAACCATTGGAAATGAGACGTGCAAAACTTGTTTCTACTTCGTTGAATGTGCCGAAACGCAGGTTTTGAGAGGTTTTCGAACCCTGTGGTTGAATGTTGACGACTAAAAAAAGCAAAAACGCAGGCGCAGTTGTCATCCCGGCGGGTTTTTGTACAGACTTTGGTAAAGGTCAACACAAGACCCTGCGACTTGGAGGTGTTCCATTTTTGTTACGTTAACCAAAGGAGTGTATATTGTCCTTGGGATGTCCTATAGGTTATTAAACAATTTTGAAGCTTTTCCCAGGTGTCCATCTTTGGGGGCCCCCCTTATTTAGGGGACACGGACCATTCAAATGCTCGGCCGGACCGGCCGGAGTTTCTTGTACTATTAAGGGGCCGGCGGGGGTGCTGTATAAATATGTATAAGTAATCAGGCGGAATGGATTATAATTTTTCTTTGGCATATATTGTCATTATATGTTGTTCCCTTTCAGATCTTCCAGGCTGGGGATACTACGCACCAGAGCCGTTTGGCCCTCCGCGATTTGCTGCAGTTGCTGCAGCGCATGCTCACCGAGCTCCAAGCCGATCTGACGCGCGCGGCCAGCGACGCGGCCGCTGCCGCGCTGGGCGAGGCAGGTGCCTCGGTGGTCGCCGACGGCGTGGAAAGTTTCGAGGATGCGGTGAAGGAAGCGGCGAAGGCGCTGGTGGAAGCGCACCAGGCACAGTTGAAGAGTCTGGCGGAGATTTGTGGGCAACGATTGGTTTCTTAGAGTAATCGAGACACGAGTGTCTTTGTTTTTGTTTTTTTCCGCAAGTCTTGACATAGATTGCAAAATTGGCATAAATTGGCTATATATGTATATGTATATTGAATTATATTGAATTATATTGATTTGTGTGTGTGTGTGTGTGTGTCCCCAAGGCTCTTTTGAAGTCCAAAGCCTTCAAGCCCTGATATGGGTCCAAGAAGGGCCTGGCCCATGACCTCTATGGGCTTCCCAGATCGCTTGGATGGCAGCGCGGCATGCACCAGCCCCTAGTAGCGTCCTTGCTCCTAGTAGCGATGCCAGGAGCCCCCGAGTAGCTTCTTGCTGCTAGTAGTAAGGCCAGGAGCCCCTAGTAGCGTCCTTGATCTACCTGGATTTTGAGGATGCGGAAAAGACCTCTTGAGTCTCAGTGATTCGCATGCATCGAGTGTCCAAATGAGAGCATGCGCATGCTGAATGGCTGAGACTGCGACATAGCGCTGTGATCAAAGAATCGTTGGATCAAGCTAGTGTTCCAGCAAAGTTCTCAAACGCCCAAGCACTATTTGCTATAAACTTTCCGTCACTATTATTATGATTCAATCTTGAGTGCCACGCAAGAGTTCGTTTTCCAACCAAAGCTCCATGTCTATACACAGCGTACATAGCTCCACTCACTTGCGCTTCGTGGCCTGTTCGTCTCCCGCCCAAAGTGGCCAGACATGGCGGAACAGGCAGATTTGCTCATCGATTTGCTCATCGATCCCTCAATGATCGAATGGAGGATACCCCTGTTGGGCCACTTCCAAACAAGCCATGATACAATATCATAATCCATACAGCAAGTAACAAAGGGCATCGCTACTAGGAGCAAGGACGCTACTAGGGGCTTCATACAATGGATTGTTAAAGAAACACCCGTTCCCGGAGCCCGCTGCGCGAGCCTGCGCGAGCCTGCGCGAGCCTGCACTCCGCTCCTCTTGGCCAGGCAGGTCGGCAATATGCTGCCTTCACCCAGCTCCCGCCCATGGCAGGGCTTCCGGGAGGTGGGAAGAGCTCGACACAAACAAGAAAACAATGTTATCATGGATACACCACGGGTCCAAAAAATACAGTGAAACCGGATCCCTTATCTCCGTGAGTAGTGTTTTTGTATGATCAATTCCAGTAAAACAAGATATGAATTTGACCTGTAGTATATGATAATATCCATTATTTCTTTCACAATTTCTTGATGTACAATGTTTCCAGATAAACCGAAAGGCCACATGACCTGATCATAGCGGACAGGGTAAAAAGATGTATGACTGATCCCGGAAGACACTGAAAGGAGGATGGGCACATGTCGCGCTAGCATGGCGCTATCGCCATAAAAGGAACTAATTGCATCATAAGCCACACTTGCTGTGTACGCCTTCCTCTCGTAACCAGCCGCATGACCAAAGAGGTCTGAGACTTTCGCGAAACGGATCCCTGAGACTGGGAATCTTTCATGAGAAACATCTCGATGCGAGTATTCATGTGTAGACGTTGTAAAGGCAGGCTGACGAAAGCTGGCCCATGTCACACAACAGAACACTATTACTCCAAGTCGCTTGAATTGATTTGCTAAGATTGTAATTTAAAGTAGGTGAACCATTCAAAGAGATGTGTCAAGGGTCGAGAAGTCTGTTTGAGAAGTCGTCTTTCGCGCCCAATTACGAAACGCAATAGCTTTCGGTTTAACCATGTAGACATCTGTAGACGCAATTAGACATTTTTTGGTAGGTGAAAGGAGAGATCCAGAAAACACTTGTACAACATCGCATCTCCGCAGATGTTCAGGCACATCGCAGTCGTCCATTGACCTGCCGTGTCCTGGCCTGTCGTTCATTTGGGATACCTATCCCGACGCCGTCAACGGCCTGCGTTTGTGTGGGATCATTCGGGTGCCTTCCGGGCTTGCCACGTTGCGAACTAAGTTTGGGTCTGGGTCACGGTTCCAAATGGAACCATGACCCGAAACTGATAGCAATCAATGTCAAGAAAAGGAACTTGCTTCTGATTTGGGTTTTGACGCACAACACAAGAATGCGCAGGGAAGGATATCCAACCTGTATCCAACCTGGCCGTGAGAGTTGTGCCATGCCTTCCATAATACATCACAAATGTTACTATGTAACATATATATGTGTATATAATATATATATATATTATTATACATTTAGTATTATGTAAAAATGAAACAAACCATACAAACCTTCGTCCGGCTCAGACCACGGTTGGAAGACGTGAAGGCTTCTGTTGAGAAGGCGAGCAAGATTCAGCCAACCTCTTGTGTAAATGAGTTGATGTGCAGCATTGGAATCGAACTATCTTGGTTCAAAGATCAAGGCCTTATGTTGCTGAGGTCTCACAACAACTCTGTCAAGCTTTTGGTGCTTTCGATGCGTTCATTTACTGTAAGACATCGAAGCCATCAGTCAGGCCCAAGTCGATTCAAACCGCATCCGTGCCATGCAGTGGAGTCCTGTGCACACCCAGCCTTTTCCGCAGTATGCACCACTTGTAGCGTCACCCACAGCGACGCTGCAGCCTGTGCAGCCTGCACTGCAGCCCCAGGTCGTACAGATTGCACCTCAGGTCTCGCATGACATCGATGATTTGGTGAAGCTAGACCCGCAATTCACGCAGACTTTGCAAGTTGAAAGAAGGCGCGTCGCTGGGAGCCGAGATATCATGACATACCATGACCATGACATACCACACCCGTTTGTTTCACAGGGCTACACCATATGTTTCATCGGATCGGATCGGATCGGAGGCAGAAGTTGGGCATGGACACCCCACAGATCAAGGAGTTCTTGTCCAAGACGAGTTTAATGAGTTTGGGCTCCTACTGCGCCGTGGCGAACTCTTTCGAAGCATTGGGTTTGCGAGAGGCCGCTGGGCCTTTCGAGCCTTGGAAAGGAACCACGACATGTTCTTTTTCACGTCGCTGTCGATGCAGATAGGTTTGGTTCCGTGACTGGATTTTAGCTCGGACTTGGTTAGAGTTTGTCAGAGTTCCATGTTCAAGGAGCTCTAGAGTCTAGGTCCAGGTAGTCCGCAGTCGTGACCCAGCTGTCTCAGGATTGGATGCGTAGTGATTGCCAGGGCATTACACATTTGCTGAGAAATGGCTTTGAGGACACCTGAAAACAATTCCATGGTGGCATGTTCAGAAGCTTCCTCGGATTGCTTGGGTCGAGGGTCAGAAGCAAGCTGGTGTTCTGAAGTGCAAAAGTTGCATCAGATCAGATTGATGTTTAATTATGTTTCTTGGATTGTGCTGGCAACGGGCAGCGCCGCTGCGTAATTAGTCCATCTTGGATCCTTCCCACTACCAAAAGTATCCCAAAAAGAGCTACAGAAAAAGATACAAAAAAGATACGCACCGGTCGTGCGTCTCTCCAGTGGTCAGGACTTTCTGGATTGGGACGGCACCAGCCACAAAGTCGGAGGCCTTGATGTGTTTCCGATGCGCTGGGGCGGCTCCTTTTGGCACCATGACATCACCGACGTCAAGGCCAGTTGAGTTTGCGCGCACATGGGTTTCAGATGGGTCATGATGGAAGAATGATGAAAGTGCGTCAACTGCACCTTGTTGCACAAGACTAAGTCAGGACTTGAGCATGGGAAATTGCCACTGTAGTGCTTGAGCCACTTCGCCACTTCTGGGTTTGGATGTTGAGTGCTTCGCTTTGCCATGCTTTGCCTATCCGGCCTATCCAACCAGGTGAGGCAGACCTTCATGAGACGAAAGGAGCGCTTCCTCAATGCCCAGAACGAAAACCTCTTGTTCATCCGAGTGGTGAATGGCACACAGGAGTTAATGCAAATCACAGGCCAGGTTGCATCAAAGACTGAATTCCAAACCAACCACCACGTATGGACGCCTCAAAGCACTCACAGGATGCCGAATCAGCCTCATGTTTTTTCGAGCACCTCAGGAACTCAAGTGTTAAGACCCGGGGATGACCTTACCGACCTGGGCAGGCCTTTATTCAGCACTTCAAGAGCGATTTGGAGACAAGTCTCGTGTACGCCTCTTAGTGCTCATCGACCTGCAGGACACCGAGCAGGAAGTCATTACTCAAGACCTCGGTCGTGATGTGATCTTTAGCTGCGTCCATCACAGCTCTTGGGAGTCGCACATTCCAGCACCAACACCTGAGGAGCAAGCACGCCTGAGGTTACACAAAGCCAGTGATTCCTACTCAGCCGCCTTGGTCCGGGCGCTCTACATCTGGGCCAGCGTTGGGAGTTTCGCGACCTGGCCCAGCTTGGCCAGTTTTTCCCAGCGAGTTGTGCAATGGGTGGGTCCAGATCCAAAGCGAGACTCCTTCCAGCCGTCTCGCCTCTCCCTAGCGCCAGTCGCGGCCACAGCCACCATGTTGACGTTGAATGCCGCGATGGCCCAACCATTCACGCAGATGACGCAGCCCTTGACCCAGCCCTTGACTCAGCCCTATTACTTCGTGCGTCCCACCGTGCCTTGGCCGGCCAGTCCTCAACGGATATTCTAAAAAGGCTTGTGGCTGATCCAATCTTCTCCACCGACCCCAGGGGGCTTTGGTCTCCGGGTCATTTTGGGCAAATGCAGATACGTTCGGCTGCCTCGTGCAGGCCATCTGTTTTTTTTCTCATGGGACGAAGCGAAGCTTCCTCCCCCTAGCTAGGACACCAGCGCTGATCTTGTTTGATCTTGTCTGGTGATCATTCGATCTCTTTGGAGACATGTGAAGAGCAATTGTTGGGTTGCCAGACTCGTCCAGATGTGCAACAAGTCGGGTTTGCCTGTGACAATCGGTTCAATGCCGGTTCATGGCGATGATTTGGAGGTGTAAGGATTGGCACAGATGATCTACAATCAGTTCGCAATTCTTGCTGAGTTTGTCAAGATCGCACTTCTTTGCTCTATCTCTGAGGAGGTCCAGTGCATTTTTTCAGCTAGCCCGGAAAGCCAGAGCCTTAGCTTTCATTTACTGTATGTGTTTTCTCTTTTTTAGATGTAGATTATGTAGACGGTTTTGGTGTGCTAACCTGAGAACTCACAAAACAGAAGCTTCACATGTCACAACTTTCGACCTTATTCTGTGAGACATTGCTCCTGCTCAACATATGGCGCCTCCAGCTCACAGGTCAAAGAAGAGAACGAAAGATGGCGCCAGAATTCTGAAAGAGACGAGGCCTTTGATGACGAACGGTGAAGTCTATGTAGTGCATTGGTCTTTGATGTTTTCAACACTTTGTCCCTAGTGAAGATGATCTTAAGGGCTCACAAAGCCACTTGCAGCATCCTACAGCCAGACAATCCGGTGTGATAGTAGGCGTGATACTTCGCGATTTGGTGCGTGTGTCACCTTTAAAGATCCATGATTTGCTTTGGAACTGAGGGTCGAATTTGCAAAGGGGTCAACAGGGGATGCACATGGCACGGAATACACATCCAAGTTGTTTTGCCTAGTCTTGGCATCCTTTTGGCAGGTCAACCGAAAGGAGCGAAAGGAGCTGCTGAAAGTGGCGGCACAAATCCCTGCGGACAACACGGCTCGGACCCAGGTAGTCAAGAAGACTGGACGCAGCATTTGCAAGGTCCAAATCTTTCCGAGCTTTGATATTTGCGTAAGGGCCTAATTGCATATAATTGCACTTGCTTGCAAGCAGTTGCTAGCCAAATTGCAGAAAGCAAAGCTGTGAATAGACAATCAAAGAGATCTTGAGTACCTCCCTAGGCCACACTTCACTTCCAGCAGAGTGGCGCTGTGACAGCTGGGAATCCCGGCTTGGAGGATTGTTGTTGGAGTGTGCATGAAGGCTGGAGGGCTGGCGTGTCAAGAGTTTTGAAGTAAATCCAACATGGAAAAAGGATCGGGAACGCGAACACATACTGACTGTGATAATTGGGACATATATATATATATATAGTGTCGCGTAAGTGGAGTGCAAGGGATTTTGCATAAGAGCAAAGGAACAGGTGTTGGCCCGGTGACGATGAACAAGCCCCACTTATTGGCAAGCAAACTGAAACTGTAGGAATGGTATTTGTGGGAGGGTTTGTGCAAGCGAACGATATCAAAATCAAACCCTAATCGTGGATAGTTTCGCTTTTATGACAGAGATTGTTCGTCGATCTACATCCAATCCTCAGTTTATTTTATGTTCAGGAAAGTTTGGATGCATCATGCATCATCTCATCTCGATGGAACTGAGATGAACTGAGACGCGGTTTTCAAGCCTTTACTTGAAACATGGGAACATCGGGATATGATGGGGCATGTGCCCCTTGATGATGGACAGCTCAGTGCGGTCGGGGGGGTGTTGACACAGGCGCATTCGGGGGTGACCCCTGAGGCCACCGAAAAGTTGCAGCTGTCAATGACTGGCTTCGACATCTACCAGAAGGTGCGCCAGCAGACTGGAGCCTGTTGTAGCACATTTCGGATTATATATTCATGGATTTGGGGTTCAAGCAAAGGCGGCTTTTGGATGGTTGCCCCATTGTCAGGAAAGCATTTAGGTGTTTGACCCCTGCAATGGAGAAGGGAAGCAAAAAGATTGTAGTAAAGTTGAGGGATACCCAGGGATACCGATCTCCGTCAAAACTTGTTGCTTCTTTGAAGAAACGATGTAGCTGCTCCTCAAGAAACCTTGTCAAAGAGATCTCTTGGAAGTGGAATACGTTGTCCAAAAAGCATTCCCAAAACATTCCCAAACTATCCCAAACGCGCCCAAAGCCATTGGTTGTGTGGTCTCTCGAGCTCATACAGTTTCAATGTACAAACGACTCTCCCACCTGGAACTTGTGGGGTGTTGGTCTGTTCACACACAGTGGAGGTGCCTCGGTTCAACGCCTTTTGAGTCAGCCAACCCTTGGTATCCGGACTTGCCAATTGAAAGCGGCGTTGTGCCGCTGCTCAAGAAGGTGGATGACGGCCGTGTTAGGGAGGCTTGTTATGTTGTTTGTTTTGCCATGTTTTGCCTCGCATTTTGTGCAGTATTGGAAAATACCTGACCGCAGCCCACCCGCGGCCGTCTTGGGATACCAAGAAAACGTGTTCCATGGTCTTCCAGACGCGTGTGACGAGTCAGGCTTACGAACATGTCATGCAGAAGGACCGAGCCTTCAGCATCAAAGTGCCTTAGATGAACATAGATGAACTCGATCAAACGCAGCATCTCTCAGCAGGTTTTGCGGAGGACTTGAAGACTTGAGTATGATGCCAACGGAGATGACATGTTAACTTTGTACTTTGCTTCTCATAACCACATTTTGGGAAGGCTGTAAAATTGCAACTATTCCCACATAAAAACTGGCCAGATATGAGCCACGACCTGCGACAATCATTAAATGTCTAGCTACTTGTAGACTACCCCTTCACAGGCGGGGCTTGTTTGCCAAAAAGAATTCTGGCGGAATCCTGCTGAACCCGACAAGAATCCTTTCACAACTGCAATTGGATGGTGAGCAACTTTTGAAAGCTGTGGGTGCTTGAATCCGCAAAGAGGGTTGGATACGCAGATCATGGGACACGCAAGCACTGGCAGTAAGCCCAGAAGTCAAGCTGCAGCAAACGAAGACGGCAGCATGCAGCCAGGGTCAGTCTGATGTCAGTATACAATTAGGCTCAGTTCAGTAGACAAACTCATGGATGATCAAGATCAACAACTCTTTGAAGAACACAGTTTGCTCGAAAGCTTAGGTAGAAGGCCCTGACAGCACGGCCTCTCTCTCCAAGCAGATTGATGAGGCAGCGCGGCAGCGCGTGTGGCAGGAGTTTTTGGTATGGGTTGCGCTCCAGATCTTCAAGGAGCTGCAAAAGCGCGTTCTTTGCTTTGCCATCCAAAAGCGATGCCGGTAAACCCTGGGGAGTGCCTGGTGGACACTTGCAACATCTTGCAACCATTTTGCATGGTAGATATGTTTGATTTGAACCTTTCAAAGCAACCTATCGATGGAAATAAGGTTGGAGGCCATTGCTATCACTTGAGCTTCCCCATAGTAGCCAAATGAATAGAATCGAAGCGTGAGCTATCCTGCATCCATGCTAGTAGCTTAAGTAAGGCACTAGCCACCTAGCTTCTACTAGCTACCTCTAGCTAGTAGATACCTGGCTACCTCAAAAAGAATGTTTTTTGGAAAGCACCACCTCCAGGCCACATATCACATGAGCCTCGAAAGCCTGAAACTCAGCGGATCGGCCAAGCGATCTCAGTGGGTACGTTTTAAAGATTCAGAGGCAAACTGAAAGGGTGCTTGATGGGTTTTTGCAAATGGTGCGCAGAAACCCGGGAGGTAAAGGGGTTTGCAACATTTTACAAACACCTATTCTACTAACTAACCTCGTGGAAGGCCCGAGACATTCGTGGAACCCAGGGCTATTCGTGGAGGTTGTGTGTCTCCCAGGGATAGTATATGTAGTGTTGTTAGACTATGTTAGACAAGCAGAAAAGCTCCTCCTCTTGAGCGCGTTGGAGGCTACCTTGTTTCTTTCTTTGGGTGCGTTCTTTTGGCGGACGTTCTTGTCAACGACATGGCGCCTATTGAGGCCTTGGGCTGAAGGGAGGCTGCAGCTACAATGTCGTCATTAGTTCTTACTGAAAGATCTGAACGTGATGCAAGAACTATCAAGAACTTACCCGAGCATGAACTGGTAGATTCTGATGGGTCCTTCACGTTTTGCTTGTTTTACTGTAGGTAATCTTGCTTTAGCAAGCTGCGCCGAATGAGCACAGACCCGATCATTTGGGCAGCAAAAGAGCGAGCTGAGACAGCAATAGAATTTCTGTTCACTGCGCACCTTTGAAGAAGAGAGTCATATCAGTTGTGCGGCAGCAGCAGCTAATTGTAAGTCCGTGCCACGTCACATTTGAACCATGAGGCTGGTTGGTTGCTTGCTTGTTTGCTTGATTGATTCATTGTTCTTTGTGGTTGGTTTTCTTGGTTGATTGATTGATTTGCCCAAGTTATATAGTCAGAAAATACACTAAAACAAACATGTGAGCCGTTGAAGCAAGAAATCACAACCAATGTTCTACAAGTTCCCATGCAAGTTGCCCTGCATTGCTTGCTTGGACGACTCCAAGGGAAGAGAACCCGGAGTGGATTTGATGTGCCTGGCTGCCTTTTTGAGGCTCTGAGAGGGCCCACGAAGTCACGAGGTTCTTGGAAAAACTGCCAACTACAGAACGAGCTGTTATATAGTTCACAAACATGTTCACACAGTTGTGCAGCCCTGTGGATCCCAGTTGCCACCGCAATTGGACTTGACATGATTTTACGATATCCAGCTGGCGAGGGCCATTGGTCCCCCTAGTCTATTGTTTGTGGGAACTGGGTCCATTTGGCTAAGAATCACACAAAAGTCCGTGTAGCCTGGGTGGCCAGCAGTGAGCGCTCGAAGCCCAGTGACATGTGAGTCGTTTGCTTACAAGGGTGCCGGGCCTGTTTTTTAGAAGTATTCTGAAAGACCATTTGCCTAGGGTTATGTAGACTGTTTTCACGTTGAAGATGTTGAAGCACTGCTTTCGAGTCCCGGAGATGTGTTCTTTATGTGAATCCGACCGGCTGTCGTCCCAATTGGAACGGATGGGCCCAGGCCATGAGTTGCTGCGTGGCCAGCCCTGAGGAGCTTCAGGCGTGGAAAAACGAGAACAAAGAGTTGCGTGGGCCGTTCTTTTGGCGATTGTAGAGATGATGCGTTGGTGCAAAGGGGAAAAGGACCCTACAGGCCCTACAGGATGTTTGTGCAGGTGGAAATGATGACCAGTCTTGTGTAGGATGGTTGACTCAATGATTTGTTGGGCTTGCATGTGTTAGTTGCGTCAATGCAGCAGCGGATGAAAAAGTTTGTGCTTGAATCTTCCCTGCTTTCTCCAAATAACCAAATTTTACACACCTGGTAAATACACTCCCCTGCAGATTAACATGGAACCCCAAAACCACACAAAAAAACACTGGAAAATGAGTTTGTTTTAAATAATGCTTAAACTATAACTTTTTTTAAATGTTTTTTTTGCTTATGCATGCATATATATATATGTATATTGTAAGATATATCTAATATATATATATATAGCTACACACTGTATAATAATACATACTGTAATATTCTTGCAAACCCTTCTGATGAACTGTTTGTTTGGAGTCTACTCGGTCGCTTTGACTCACAACCGTCGCGGAGTCGGTGAGTCACCGGTTGCCAGTCGGTCGCAGGAGCAGCTCTTCGACTCCCAGCGAGCCTTAAGCGACGCCCGGCGTGCGCTCAGTGCCACGAAGAAGGCGTGGCAGGAGTTTGTGGTGAAACAGTTGATGGTCAAAAGTGTAAAAAGTGAGAGTGGATTTGTGAAACATTGAGATAAGTTGAGATGACATGAGATGACATGAGACATGTTTGGTCAAAAGTGGACGGTTGAAGATGGTTGAAGCAAGACCAGGTGATTACTAGTAGCTCTTGAAGATGTCACAGGGTATTTTGTACGCCTGTACGCTGTATGATTTTCGATCCGCTTTAGCAAGCTTAGGACATTTTGCCGAAGGAATTTGTGGCAGGTGTGATTCTCATGTGCACTTGCCAAGAGAGACACTATGACTACGGACAGGAGTATCGGAGTAGATGTTATATAATGTGGGAGCTTCTACACCCCAATGAAGAAAAACAACTTGGCAGGCTTATCATTGCCCATTCTAATTTGAGGTGTCTTTCGGGATTCTACCTTTCTATTCTTCAGGGATTCACAGCAGCATCCAAGAGGCTTTGGCGGATGCCGAGAAATTCCAGCGGGACCAAGCTGAAGCCTATGCCTGCCTCCGCCGCTGCGTCGATGGAGCCAATGCGCCTATCGTTGTGCGGACGCCCAGAAAGAAATAGATAGAATGTGAACATACATCAAAACCTGGGGGTCTTACTACGAAGATCCGTGAACATCCATTTCTTTGGGCTTTTGAAAGGGACCCAAAGAGGGGCGAATCTAACATCAAAGGCCCATGTAAAAGCTTCAGCTTCGATTCTCAATACAATGCATATCGGTGACTAGTGTGCAAGGCCAGAGCCTATCGTATGACCTTTGACTTGCATACAGATCCGTACCTCTCCCGTAGGGTCGATATGAATCAGATAATGATAAGCTGGCCAGTACCATTAAGCATGGTTGATTTATTGTCACCAGGATTGCTTTTGTGACGTGCAATGGCAACACCTCTCCCCTTGTGCTGCTGTTGATTGACCTCCACCTGGTCCCCCGTGGGATCCGCCGGTTTTGACCCTTCCAGCCTGGTTGGCTCCGTGTCAGGCAGTGGATCGATATGGCTTGATCACGCGTTGGAACAAGAAGGCTGAGGAGGTCTTCGGGTGCCCCTCCGAGTCGGCCCTAAGGAGATGGTGGGAGGGAAGTGTAGCAGCCGTGCATGTATGGCTCAGGGTCTTGAAAAACCGAGCTAGTCCTTTCTGGATGCAAGCAAAAAGCAATGTGACAGCTGGGTCGCAGCTGGCTTTGACCTCTTAAACAATTTATCCGGGAGGTTTTGTCGTTGCTCCTTCTTCGAAAGGAGCTGTGAATGGAACTCTAAATTGTGACTTTGCCTGAGACTGCAAAGCGATTCACTACTCACTTGTGGAATTCTTATGTGATCTTATGTGTATTATATGTGCAATGCATGAATTCTTGCTCCATTTGGGCTTCAACAATCAACAGCACCTTGCACAAGTCGATGTTCCTGGCCAAGACTGGGGTTTGCAGATACGTGAAAGTCTACTGACTCTGAATTTGCGTGGATTGTGGTGGATTTCATTTCCATGACAGCTTGAGGATCTACCTACCAGTGAAATCGTGCAACATCGAGTAGATGGGCCACATATTCAATTTGATGCCCACCCATTGCCAGTTGCCCAAATATTGGGTCGAGCTTCATGTTTAGATATTGTTTACTAAGCCTCGGGTTTCTTCGTATCCGTTCGCTGCTCAGGAGGCCCTTCTCTGAATTCTTGGAGAAGGGTAGCCAGCTGGGTTTAGCTGACCTCCAGGCTGGCCGACCTCGAGTGCAGAGGGCAAACATCGTTTGGATTGGAGACAGGTATGGCCAAAAACCTATAGACCTGAGTTGTAAACTGATGTAAACTGCATAGCTGAAAAAGAGACTCAAGCATCGGCCCGAAGACATTGATGTGTTTCTTCATGTTTTGTAAAGGCTGTTGATTCATTTATAAAATATGTTTGTTATTACTGTATGTGTATGGCAATGGTTTTCTGTACTTTTGCCATGCCCCAAAGAACGCATCTCGTGACCGAGTAGTAGAGTGCAGAAGTTGCATCAACAAGCGTCAGCAGCACAGCTCGATTGTGTCCAAGACATGCAAAAGTGCATATTGCTTGACTTTTGATTCATCGAGCTCCAGTCACAATCCAAAAGTTTTTGGCTAGCAGCTGTTCGCCAGGCAGCAATAACGTCCAAGGCCACAACGCGACTCGGTTTTGTCGCCCAAAGCGACGCCAGAGGGAATGAAGGTTGGCAAATGTTTTGTAGAGCAGAAACCTGAACGAAGCCGGTTAGTTGGAGTACTTGATGCCAACCATTGATTGTGCTGTTGTACAAAAATGCCATGCTGCATGTGCTGATATTGATAGCTAATCAGTCTATGCCTGATGATTGTTCGCCCATAAAATTCATATGTTTTTTAATCATGGTGTGGGTAGTCAGTTTATAGAACACAAGTGTGATTTTATTGTCGTATTATGATGATTTCAAGGGATTCATTTCTGTAAGGGTCATGTTTTCGAGATTCCTCAGAAGTTGGGAATTCATTCCCTCGGGGGCGAGCGAGTAGGTCGTGCACAAAAATCGAGCACTGGTGATACGAATTTCCTTAGCCGCTCTGGTGAGCTCGTTCAAGACGGCCAGCCTGCCTGCTGCCAAAGAGCAGCGGGGCCACGAAGATTGGTCCAAGCTCACCAAGGGCAACTCCCAAACGTATTTGCTGGCAAACATTCCCCTCGGACAAGGCGAGCCACGAGACTTTCCACCCTCCTCAATTGGATCGGTTAGAGCAGGCTAATTAACCCTCCTCTCTTCCTTGCGGCCTTTTGTTGATTTTGGCTTGTGGTGCAGCTGTGGGCAAGTGGGAAGGGAGTGCAGGCAGCTGAAAAGAAAGGTGAATGAATAAGCTGCGCCTGCACAATCCCACCCCTCCCTCGCCTGAACTGCTGGAGCTTGGTGGCCTGCCAGCCTTGCAGTGTCGTACCTGCAGGCTGGCTTGGCCTTTTGTGTCAACCATTGCAAGAAAAGTGCACAAGGGATCACCTGCCTGGAGACAGGTGGAGTGATGAGCAGCTTGTTGGTGACAGGAGCTTCGCACTGAACACCTGGAGGCCTCGGACGTTCGCACGCTGGAGATGAAGTCCATTGTCCACTGCGGCTGTCCACTGTCCATGTGTTTCTACAAGCTCTGGCTCCCGCTCCAACGACTGGACCTATGCCGATGCTGAAGCGACCCTGGAGTATGTCTCACTCAAACTCACAGCTTGTGACATTTAACATGTTTATCAACATCAGAGGTATCAATCACAGAGTCTGAGTTAACATATGTCAATATTTGCAGGTTTGCTATCATTATTACTTTTATTATTATTACTATTGTTCCAGCAGTAGTACAATCAAGTTTAATTTGGTGGTTCGATATGTTGATGGGTGTGCTTGACACACACACACACACACACACACACACGCCAATGTGACACTTGAGCAACAGGCAAAACTGTTCATGGAGGGGTCTGTAAACAATACAGGGAACGAAAAAGAACCGATAACTTGAACTATGAGATCATGTTCCACCTACAATAAGTTGATGATGGTTCCACAACGCTGCGCGCACGCAACGAAGCTAGTGGACTGGGTGGTCACGGGCAAGCTGTTTGCACCATTGGCGCACTACGCGCAAGTAAGCTATCGTACTGACTGGCTACAGGCAAGTTGCTTACGCCCGTGGCAGGCTGCACAACGCTCGCTTTATTTCTGCAGCCTCCTGCGCAAGGTTTCCTCACGCGGTTTCCGGCAAAGATCCCAGTTGTTGATCGATAGCCAAAACGATGACGAACGAAGGAATGACCGTTTGTTGCCGGTCACCTCCCCACTTAGGTCACGAACATTGATTCCAAAGTTCTCACAAATACGCGTGGGCCATATGGAAGACAGGTTGGCAATATTCCGCTTGGCAAAGCAGTCAGTGCATCGGTACTGACAAAAATGTTTGACGACGAAGTTTCACTCTACAAAAGGCACGCGTCCCAGAGGCAACCGCGAGAGAGGGGCCGGCTCCTTTGACAAGAGCTGCCTTTCGGCTGCTTCTCAGCTTTCGTATTGACAATAACCTTTGCCCGCAATCTGCGAGAAGCCACTCGGAACCCTGTAAAACGATATGGCGAACTACCAAGTTGAGAACCGCACACAGAAGACCCGTAGTTTGCTTGGAGGTTTTGACGTGAGCGCTGCGCAAACCATTTGGACGAGTGCCATCATGTCAATTGCGCACGGATGATATGCGAAACAAAACAGGAAACTTTACCAAGGCCACAACATATGAAATGCGAAGCCGATCGAAACCGAGTACACACCGTTTATATCAATAAACATGGCTTTTGCTTGTCCACTCTCGCCACCTGAGCGCCGCCGAACCCAGGTCTGGGGGCTCCGCGAAGCTTCAACGACGCTTCTGTGTGCGCCAGCGCTCAGCGGGGCAACCGTGGCATGAGGCAGGATTTAGAAGGGACAGGAGGACAATGAGGACATGACTACCAGTTCTACGTCGGGCGTATCAGATTGTATTGCTGAAATCATCAACTTTGTTGAGGGCCCGTTTTGTCGGTGAGGGAAGAGTCCTGATTTGAGGGTTGTGAACGAGAGAGAACTATAGTGTACTTCAACTTTGGATTGTCCACAAAGGGTCATTGGGGGTGCCAACAAAACAGTTCAAGTGATGTTGGTCGTCAGATGTTCATCCAGGTCTTATTCCTCGCTTCCAGCTGCCCCAGCGTGAGCAGCCGAGACGCCTCCGGCGTGCTGTACATCGGCCAGGCCGGGGGCGGTCGGGGCACCGTGGGCGGATGCGCGCCGTGATGCGCATCCAAGAAGGGTGCTTTAGTTTGGCATCTACTCTGAAAACACTCCAACCCTGGTGTTAATGATTACGCGAGTTCCGAGTTGCTGGGTTTAGCTCCGTTCGGTTCAATCGGACATCTTGAGCACCAAACAACCTGACGGTTTGTTCACTAACGCAGCCCTGGCACCAATCTCTACTCCAATCTCTCATTGAATGATGACTAAGAGTAGTTCTTTGATGTTCTTTGTTGGTTGTTAGGTGGTCCCAAAGGGCTGTTTCCCTGCTTTGATTTGCACTTTTGGAAGGTTCATAGAGGCCATAGTGTCAAGATGTTTGAGTTAATACGAAGTTTGTTGGGTGGGAGGTTACATCCCTTGGCAGTCACAACATCCCAGCTTGGCGCTCCCATCTCTGTATTGGAAGGGGTGAGATTTCGCTGCAGGAACTCACAGAATTGCTGAAGAGCTCCAACTCAGAATTGACCATGCAGGACCGGCTAATACGTGCCTCAGATCAAGAAAGGCCATGAAAGGCCTCATGATCATGAAGTTTGGTAGGTGGAGGACATCGCCCTTGAGTTGGAGGCCATCGCTACTAGGGTGGAGGCATAGCTATTAGGGTGGAGGCCATCGCTCTGAGGGTGGAGGCCATCGCTCTGAGGTTGGAGGCCATCGCTATCAGGTTGGAGGCCATCGCTATTAGCTTGGTACTGGAGTCAGTACTGGTAATTACTACCGTATACATCCGACGGCTAACCAGACATGATACCCCGCATTTCGGGGAGTATCTCCGCGACGACCATGTGCCCTACCTTAGCGAAACTATTTTAGTGTGGGAGTGACTTAATGAAATACTCTTTCAGCAGTCTCTAACTACTGTATTCAAATAGTTTGATGCCATTGTCTCTAACCGCCTCAAAATACAAGAGAATTATTTTGAGGACGGTGGGTGGCCATAAGGCAGGGTCCGTCGTTGACCGCACCACAGTCGTTATCATTGTTCCCGGGCCGAGGCGAAGTGAATGCCCCGTTGATCGCGGTGGATAAGAATGGCCGAGTGGAGGACTTCGGGATCAGAGTTGATGTGTTCAAAAAGAATAGGGAGCCCTCAGTTGATGTGCTCTCACATGTGCTCACATTCAATAGAAAGGGACTTGAGTGACAAGGACGCTACTAGCCGCTACTAGTAACAAATTGAGGGCATCGCTACGAACGGAGCAAGGACGCTACGCACGGGGTGCTCCTGGCCTTAGTACTAGTAACAAGGACGCTACTAGGGGCTCCTGGCCGTACTACTAGGAGCAAGAACGCTACTAGTAACAAGGACGCTTTGAGTGATATATCACATGAGCTCACAATGTGCTCCAGGAGTGGAACCGAGGCGCGGAGCTTTTGACAGGTTTCACCAAAGAGGAGGCAGTGGGGAAGCGCCTGGTGCAACGTTTCATTGCTGATGAGCTGTTTGGATGCAACGGTCCGTGCCCAGTTGGAGGATTCGCTCACGCGGATTAGTTGAAGGGGTGCAAGACATTGAACGACTTAGACATACTTAGACGAGTCCAAAAAGACTGTACAGTAAGCTCTTGCAGCTGTTGAATGATTGGAATGGCATCTTCTAAAATTAAAGAAAGGTTTTCGCGTCGCTGAAAAGTTGAGTCAAAAGATTGGGTACAGTAGCCATCGGATCAGTAAAGCCGCCGGATGCGGGGAAATTCAATGACTGTAGGGTTAGGACACTTGAGAGAAGACAGAACACTCGCGATTTAATTGTTGTAGAGATTCAGCATGAATCGATGGACATAACAGAGTTAAATAAACTTGGAGGGTGGGAGGGCAGTTCTGCTCTCAGGAGCCCCACTGGGCTCAAGAGCCCAGAGGGGGCGTTGGTTTCCACCCCTGTCTTTTATCGGGGTGGCGCGGGCCGCGAATGGTGCTTCTTGGTCAGGGGGAAGCCAGTGGGATTGGAACGATTCCGGACCTCCTGACGAGCCTGGCTGTTCCTGATCATGTATGGCAAGCTTTCATCAACGTGGCCGGCGACCCTGGCAATGATGTTAGGTTGATTGCGGCGATGCCCCCATGGACTATTCCTCAGATCGTCAATTCCTCCACACTGGCTGATGGTGAGCGGTTGACCCCCATTCAAGCGGCTCAGGTGGGGCTGGTGTGGCGCAATGCTAGATGGGTAATTCACCTTAGAGGAGGAGGAGAGGCCAGCAGGTTTGTGGATACTGACCCTTGGTCATTGCCCAGCAGCGGGGGACCTCCTGACGGGCATGGGGTGACAGAGCCGGGAACCACGACAAAGGCCGCAAGCAGTGGAGGGGCTTCAGGCAGCAAGGAGAACTTGTTGAAGATGGCCAACTTGGTGGACCAGACGGACGACTCGGAGACGAAGTTGCCGGATGCACTGAAGCTCAACGAGTGGACGCAGAGGTACATCGCGGTGATGGGCGCTCCACCTCAAGAAGAAGAAGAACCGACGGATGCGCAGTTAGCAGCATTACATCACAGGGTGGCTGTGCAGAAGCAACCCCCCTACGTTGACTTCTCGGTGTGGCTGCCCTTTGGAAGGAGGGTCCTCAAGAATCAGAAGTTCAGGGCCTTCCTGCCGATAGGCGACGGATCCTTCGTCATGAAAGAGCTCCCCGGTCCGCAGAACTTGCAGCAATGGATGGTCAGTTGGAGGGTGTTCAAAGCCGCCTGCATTTGTTTGAACATTGTGACGTTGGCCGCCTTGCAGCTCTACGAGAATGTCATTGAGAAGCTGGTGATTCAGTGGCCCAAAGCGTGGGGCCTCATAGCACAGGCGGATGACAAGGCGAGGGCGGAGAAGCTGGAGAAGATTCGCAGGTCCATCGTCCTTGACATAGCATCGGGAGGAGCACCTCCCAGGGAGTTTTCAGAAGATGAACCATGGACGGCATGCTTCAGAGCCTTGGCCCTTGATGAGACCTTTTGGAACGAACAGGTGAGGCACCCTGCAGCAGCTTGGTTGGCCAGCGGGGCACATGGTGCTCCGAGGCCTCCAGCCGAGGCAATGGCTTTGGCACATCATCCGGGACCTCCTGCCGAGCATGGGGAGTGGGATGAAAGAGGCGAGCGAAGGCGACAGGCCAATAGGGACAAGAGGTCAGCGAAACGCAAACGATGGGCGGCTGATCGCGAAGAGCTCATGAACTTGCGGGAGCAGAGATCCAAGGGGGACCTCAACAAGGGCAAGAGCAAGGGCAAAGGAAAAGACCAAGCAGGTCAAGAAATCTGTTACAGTTGGGCCAAGAACGTAGGCCCGTGTGCTGGCTTGTCCGCAGGATCGGAGTGCAAAGGCAAGGTCAAACGGATTCACAAGTGCATGTTGTGTTTCTCACCGGCTCACCAGAATGCGGAGTGTCCAAAGAAGACGGCATCCCCCGTGTGACCCTGAAGGGGCCGTGGGACAAAGGGTGCGGTTTTCCCCTCGTCTCGAACGAGGGGGGGACAGTTACGCGTGGCTTCGATTCGTCGGGGATCGTGTGAGGGAGCCGGGGAGGGGAGTGATGATGTGACTGGTCCGCGTTCGTAAGTCGTCGCAACTGAGGGCGTCGTCGTGTGTCTCGAGTGCCGTTTTCGTTCCGTGTCGAGGGTTGAGGAGTGACGGAAGGACGGGGCCAGACGAAGGGACAGAGTGAGTGACGCCGAGAAGCCTGGGCTCGTGAGACGGGCGAGTTCAGGGCGAACTTCATGGCGGGGACGAGCAAGAGCCTGGGGCAGCCGAGCCTGAACGAGCTGCCGGACAGGATCAGCGATGCCCTGAAGGCGGCCAGGGACTTCCCGGAGTATCAGGAGTTGAGGAAGTTCAGATTTCTACACATGTTCAGCGGCAAGGAAGACGTGTTGGGCAAATGCTTGACGGAGATGGCCAATCGAGAAGGACTTCAGTTGGAGGTCTATAGCCTAGACAAGCTGGGCGAGGGTGATGTCGACTTGACAAAGGACCACCCGTTCATGGAGCTCAAAGAGGAGGCAAACGCATCGGCCTTTGACGCTGCGCATGCAGGTTTTCCGTGCAACACGTTCAGCAGGGCTAGATGGAACATGACCAACAGAGGTCCTCCCCCGATCAGGTCCCTACAACACATATATGGCCTGCCGTCCAACTCACCGGAGGAGCAGCAGCAGGCGGATGTGGGGCGTCCAGGTCGGTGGAGATCGTCGGGGCCATCCTGAAGGACCAGCGCAGGCGGAGGGTGCCCGAGGCGGGGGAGAAGAAGGACCGGCCTGGGAACTTCCAGAGGTCAAGACGTTCATGGACGCGTTTGAGTGCCAGGCAGCGGACTACAATACGTGTGCCTACCAAGGTGATGAGCGCGTCAGGTGGTACAAACCAGGTCGATGGGCTGGGCGGTTGTTGGACCTGAACAGGTTGAGCAAGCAGTGCACATGTGGTCAGTGGATTCGTCATGAACCCTTAGTCGGAGCCAAGCGCACGTCGTTAGCTGCCCAATATCCGCGAAAGCTTTGTGAGGAGTACTGCAAGCTAGTGGTGACGGCCTTCAAGCACACCCTCCAGCTGGAATACTGGCGACACAAGTTGACCACCAAGACGGAGGAGGTTTCGGAGCTCAAGAAGAAGTGGCTGTTGAGCAAAGAACGAATCTATCAGGGACCTCCTGAAGGAAGACAAGTTGCAGACCCTTCCAAAAGAGTGTGGGAAGCGGCGCAAGCCTCGCAGGACACTAGGCCGCAGTTGGGGATGTCCAAGAAAGCCAGAAGGGAAGAAGAAAACGATCGCTTCATCGGTGGCATGAGGAACCCGGGACGAGCTGTAGAACGACTCTCGAGGGTTCGGCAGGTGGGCATGGACGTGTCGAGGATTTGGGACAGGTTCATCCACGATTACCCGAAGGCCTTGGACGTCGCCAAGAACTATGGGTCAGAGGCAAACAGACCGGATATGGAGATCGAGATGATGTGGAAGGGAGCTCTGAAGATGTTCTTTCAGACTAGGGCGTTCCCGGACATCATCCTCAAGGACAAGTATGAGTTTGAGTCTCCGCTGGACCCGGAGCTTTGGGACGCATGGTTGCGAGCAGCGGCTGACCCGGAAAAGCACTTGGTGGAGTGGATCCGCAAAGGGGTGCCTCTAGGGATGAGCAAAGAGATACCCTGCTGTGGCATCTTCCCGATGGCGGACGACCCGGAGCTGGACATGGAGGAGATGCCTGAGCTGGCGGATCAGTTGGGAGCAGTCAACTACAAGTCCTTCACGGAGGAGCCGGCGCACGCGAGAGCAGAGCTGAGCAGACTCGTGGAGGAGGGATTCGCAGTGGTGCTCCCGACAGCAAAAGCGAAGGACATGCACAAGAAGGGGATCGTCTCGAAGCTGGCCTTGTTGATCAAGAACAAGGACGACGGGAGTGTCAAAAGGAGGATCATCATCGACCTGCTCAGGTCAGGAGGCAATGCCAGGTGCCGCGTGCCGGAGCGGATCGTCCTGCCCAGGGTGGTGGACGTGATTGATGGCTTCAGGTACTTGTGGAGCACCAGGGACCGCATGAAGAGCAAGTCGAGAGATGAGGAATGGGAATTGGATGAGGATCGACCAGAAGGAGGCATCTTCGATTTTGAGCTGGTGACGGCGGATCTCAGCGATGCCTACTGCCACTTGCCAGTGCACCCCGAGGAACACCCAAATTGCTTGAGCCCAGGATTGCATCAATCTGAAACGCTCATGTGGGTCGCGATGTTATTTGGCTTCAAAGGTGCACCTCTGTTAATGGGCAGGTTTGCAGCGTGTCTGGCACGGATCTGGCAGTCACTGATAGCTCCATCGGAGATGCAGAGCCAACTGTATATGGACGACCCCATGTGGATTCTTCGTGGTCCGACCTCCCGACGGAACAGGAATCTGGCGCTCTTGCTCTACACAGCGAGAGCCCTAGGATTGAACCTGGCGTGGCACAAAGGTTCGCGGGGGTCACAGTTGACCTGGATCGGAGTGATGTTCGAGGTGGTCCAAGCGGAGGCTGTCATTAAGCTCACTGTCCCCAAGAAGATGATGGCTGAGGTTTCGCAAGCGCTGGAAGCCTGGGAGTCGAAAGGGATGGTGAGCTTCAAGGAGGTGCAGCAGCTGACGGGAAGGCTATCATGGATAGCGGGCATCCTTCCGAGATCACGCTGGGCTGTCTCGATCATGTATGCAGTGCTCGCAGATGCCAAGAGGACAGAGCATGAAGAAAAGAAGAGAGCAGCGAAACGAGTCGACCAGCGACCGAAGGTTGGGCTCATTGCAGTCAAACGCTTAGAGCTCCCGAGGCGATGGTTCATCACCTTGTTCAAGGAGCCGGAGGTACTGGCGTTGAGGAAGGAACCAACGGTTGAGCTGCTGCCAGACTATGCCATTGTGACGGATGCGAGCCCTCAGGGAATCGGCGCTCTTCTAGCGACAGTGGATCACACCATGGGGCCTTCCTTCACTATCCTGGAAGGGTTGGAGATCCCGCTTGAGGAGGCCGATGCAAAGTGGCTTGGAGTACCCTGGAAGGAATCAGCATCCCAAGGACCACTGGAAGCATGGGCAGTGAAACTGGCGGTGAAGCGGTGGGCCAACAAACTGGAGGGCAAGAGCATCGTGTTGCGCAGTGACAGCGTGGTGGCCCTCGCTATGACCAAGCGGCTTTCATCCCCCTCCCCGGTGGTGAACTGGGTGGGTGCGGAGCTGGCAATCAGGTTCGAGCGGGCGGGCATCAAGCGAGTGGTGACGCAGCACATCCCGGGCAACTGGAATGTCGAGGCGGACTGGCTTTCACGACCACATGACCGAGGTGAGAAGCCTGAGCGTCTGCAGAAGGTGCCGATCAAGTCTTTCCCAAGGAACTTGATGCACCGATGTTACTTGTCTCCCCCCGGGATTGCACCACAACTTTGGGGTGCGTCGGCCCAGCAGGTCTCAGGAGCCTTCGAGCTGCTTTGAAGGGATGAGGATGAAAAATTTTTCGTCGCTCATTCTCGGCTTGAGGGGCGAGGTCTGAGTAGGTCGGTTGACGGGGGGAGGGGCGCGGGGTCGAGTCGATCCGCAGTCGTGCGTCGATTCTCGAGATGTGAGTGGCAGTGCTCGTGAAAGCGCCGGGAGAGCTCACGATGGCTCAAGTGATGGTAAGGTCCGACCCTGCCGTGGCGGCAGGAGATAGTGCTGCGGAGTGGGCCTTTGGCGAATACGCGGTACTAGCCGGGTGGGCCTTCTTCGGGCTGGGCCTCTTGAAGGGCGTGTGGGAAGCGCTACGTTGGAGCAGCTCTCCGCGGAAACCAGAGAGCGAGGAACAGGCGGAGAGGACACCTACCAGGGTATGCTCTCAATGCGGCAGGCCAAGCGAAGAGGAGCAGCTGAGACGAGAACAATCCCCAAAGAGAGAAAGTTCGAGAAGGCGACAAGTCAGTGGCACGCCAGAGAAGAAACCATCAGAGTGGCCAAACCAGGAATCCCCAGGGAGGTCACCAGAAATTCAGCGGGCAAGAGCACAGATCCTCGAGGCCATGGTTCAGAGGGCTCAACCAGTGGTGCAAGACTTACACGACATGCGCCGCCTTGGTGGAGTGGGACCAGTGCTGCGACGTGGATCCCGCATTCAGTGAGCTCGAGAAGAACGTTGGGGGTCGGGGGCTTTGGCTTCAAGAACCCCTCGAACTGCATGGTGGAGCTAATTCGGAATAGAGTGCACGGAGAAAATCACCATTTTGGTGCCAACAGTCCATCGGAGCAACTGGAGGGGAAGCACCGAGATCAGGGACCCACGCGGGAGGAGCAAAGGGCCAGTGAGAGGTCAACGAAGAAGGGCTCCTTCGATGAGGTCATGGACATCCTGAAGGAAAAGGAGAAACTGGCCAAGGCTAGGCAGGAGTTGAGGAAAGACTTCATGGCCGACTCATCCAGGGCCTCACAGAGAACGAAAAGGGAACAGGTGTTGGCAATGGCCGCGGAAGCACGTGACCCAGGGGCTGAAACTTTTCCACTGAAGACAGAGACGGTGGAGGCAGTGGCAGCGGCGATAAAAGCGGTGGGCTGGACTTCGGGAGATCAGTACATCAACGAGCTGAAGCTGATGCACATCGAGGCTGGATGGGACGTGAGTCAGCAGCTGAGCAGAGCTTTGGCCGACTGCAAACGATCTCTCCGAAGAAATAGAGGCCCAGTGAAGAGGGCGCCGGAGTTCAAGCTGGAAGACATCGAACAGATGAAGTGGATCCTGACGTGTAGAGGTCCGAAGAAGGTGGCGAGGCCGGCCCTAGCATATGCTTGGGCAGTGGTCTGGATGCTGAGAGAGATTGAGGTCAGTGCCATGAAATGGAAGGATGTTTCAGCGGACTGGAGCAAGAGAAGGATTTCCATTGTCATCCCCATCTCGAAGTGCGACCAGCAAGCCCTAGGCGTAAGAAGAACGATGCAATGTTGTGCCTACAGATCCTGCCAAAGATGGTGCCCGTGGAAGGTGTGGGTGGAGCTATGGAGAGCCCTACATGGAGAGCAAAGGGACCCACACGAGTTCATCTTCCAGGACGCCGAAGGCAAGAAATTGTCAAAAGCGAAGATGGTGGAAGGCTGGGCCATGGTGACGACCCCTGACATTCAAGGACATTCTGCACGGCGGTCGGGAGCCATGGGGTATGTGAGACTTGGCATGCCAATCCAGGAGTTAGCATTCCTGGGACGTTGGAAATCCTCCGTGGTGCTCAACTATGCCGAGGATGCCCTACAGACGGAGCCAGCAAACAGAAATTTGAAGCGTGAAGGTGATCACAAACCCAGAAAACAAGAGAAGAAACTGGAAGTCATGTCGAAAGAGGAGCCGAACACGCTTCAGGGACTTCCCGAAGGGCCATCGGAGAGCACAACAGAAGAGAAAGAAGGAGACAGAGGTTCGGAGCAATGCAAAGTAGTGGTCACATCCCTACCCAAAAAGCTGTGGGTCGCCTCGACAGCCTACAGCTCAAGAGAGCGGGTTTGGCATCAAGTAGAAGATGCTGGATGGGATGTGCCGATAGAGGCCTGGACCTCGATTTGCGGGTGGCCGTTCAGCAGGAACTCATCGAAAGTCATCCTCAATTCACAATTGACGGTGGCGCAAAGGAAATGCAAGAAATGCCTAAAGCGAACTTGCGGCGGTGCCAGTGAGGATGGTGTGGCAAGTTCAATGAGACCTGCAGTTTGAGAGACTGA